ATCGAAATGTCTCTATTTCTTTGGTTGTGGTTCTCTGCCTTCTGTTCCTGTACTAGGCTGTAATGCATGACCATGTTTATTCTTTTCCTCTTGATTTTGTTTTTCTTTGTTTTGGAACATTGAACAGCAAACTCCAATGTATCTTTGTGTAGACATGTCCTGCTGTACTGACGTGTTGTAGCACACATACACATCTACCCATTGGATGCTGCTTCTGTTATGTTAACTTTATGGAGCATGGTTGGGCCTTGCCTTCGCTCTTTATTTGCATGGAATTATTATTATTATTATGATCACACAATTCCACTCATACTAATATTTTCCAATAAAGACTGTAGATTTTCCCCTAACCCTCAGTGTGCTCTCTGCTGATTTCCATGCGTCGTTCCCTCAAACCCCTCCCTCGAGTCATCACTCAGCTCCTCCCACTTGCCAGAGTGAATCATGGGAAATGTGCACTCACAAATATGGAGTCTCTTCAAGTCTCGCACATCCCATCTACATCTCACTATCTGACCTCCTGCGTTAGTGTATCTCCCCTTCGTTCTCATTGTTTTGTCTGGAGTGAAAATCAATGCGTAAAGTCAAATTACGTTCTTATCATTTTGTTGGAATTCAGAATCCATCTTCTCTCCAATCATTTTGGTCAACTTTTTTTGCATTTGGAAATGCGTTACCGTTCAAAAGTTTGGGGGGTTTTTTTTTTTTTTTTTTTTTTTTTTTTTTTTTAAATAAATTAATGCTTTTATTCAGCAATAATGCATTCACTTGATCAAAAGTTTTTTTTTTAATTTATTTCAAATAAATGCTGTTCTTTTAAACTTATATTCATCAAAGAATTTTGTTTTCAGAAAAATATTGGGCAGCACAACTGTTTTCAACATTGATAATAATCAGAAATGTTTCTTGAGCAGCAAATCAGCATATTAGAATGATTTCTGAAGATCATGTGGCACTGAAGACTGGAGTAATGATGCTGAAAATTCAGCTTTGATCACAGGAATAAATTACATAGTACAATTTATTCAAATAGAAAACAGTTATTTGAAGCTGTAATAAAATGTCACTTTTTTTTTTCAAAAAAATGCAACCTTTTTTTGAAAGAGACTTCTTTCAAAAACATTTAAAAAAAATCTTCCAACCTTAAACTTTTGAACAGTCGGGTACATCAGATTATGAAATTAAAATGGTCGAATGGTTATTCATGTTGATTTTAAGGTACCTGAGGTTTAATATGATTTTCTAATTCTAGGTTTAATATAATAGCTAAAGTTTATTCATACACATTTGTGATGGTTCAAATGGATGACCATCATAAACTTGTATAGAGTCTCTCAACACAGAAAAAATCGATCTGTTCATATACATGGTATTAATTATGCAAAAAGCTTATGGTTCTAGAGCCTGCAGGGAAAACTGGTCCGAATAAAGGTAGATTAGTAATTAGTCAAAATTATCATAGATAGTGTTAAGGGTCAGGCTATAAGGGCAGGAAAAACCCATCTGAATGAGGTTTAATCTCAGCTGAACTCTTTCATTAAGCTCTGCTGCTTGACCTTCAGGTGATGACCTTTATTTCTAATGATGGAAGTCAGACCGTTTTCAGTCCATAAATGTCATAATCTCAGATAGAAGAGTTCATGGTTTACTCGAGACTCACAATGTGCAATATACTGGACGATGAGTGCATCGCACTATTATTCACGGATCAATATTTTTGCCTGGGTTTGTGAGGGAAGCAGAGGAACAGGATCATTAGAATTCAGAGCGCGTGAACTGCATGCTCCATACGTTTCTGCTGATCTAAGGGTTTTGCTTGAATTTCTGGAGCCCTGGGGAATATTTCCCGCTGAGAAAATCGCCGGTTTCTCCTCTGTTCTGTTCTCCAAAGACGCCATGAAATGAGACAATAGTGATTCCATATCAACCGTTTCTGCACTTTTGCACTCTGAAAATTCCATCTTCTCCTCCAAACGTGAGTGGGTTTCCTTTTCCCCGGGGCCAGAGACTTCGGAGCATTTTTGTGACATTGAAGACTGGAGTAATGATGCTGAAAATTCAGTTTTGCATCACGAATAAATTACGTTTTACAATATATTGCAATAATATTTCACAATGTTACTGTATTTGTGATCAAATAAATGCAACCTTGGTGAGCAGAAGAGAGTTGTGAAGAAACAAAAAATCTTACAGACCGTAACCTTTTGAACAGTAGCGTATAGCCATGCAAGTTTAATCTCTTTTTTTTCATATTGCATATCATTTTACAGTTTAACAAATATCTTTATTTATCTAATTTATATGTAGCAAAACTCTGGAAATCACATTCAAGTATTCCAAAGATCTGTTTAATAACATTTTATAAAGGTTTTATGGCATCACCAAAGCAGGATTATGTTAGGAAGTTGCTAACTTTTAGTGTGTGTGTGTGAGAGGGAGAGAGAGAGACAAAATAGCCCCAAATGCACAGTAATACCAAACATTTTTCATCTTGTGGGGACACTTTTTTTTTTTTTCCCCATGAGGAAAATATCTTATAAATAATATTAAAAATGCAGTTGTGTTTAGGGTTAGGAGATAAGAATACACAGTTTGTACAGTGTAAAAGTCATTATAGCTGCGTCCCAAATGACACACTATGCGCTTATACACTATGTACTCAACCATGTATAGTATGAATTATATAAGGTTATTTTGTCATTCATAATCGGAGTCTGATAGCCCCTCCCCCTTCGCTGTGTAATTAAAGCTGCGACAGATGAGTGCATGAAGTGTCCAACATTCCACTCTTAGTATTTTCGGTTATTTAAGTGCATCATCCGGGTATTTAAAGTGCACTTTTTGGAATTTTCAGTGTGAATGCACTACTCGCACTATTTATACTACAAAACGTCACAGAATAGTGCATAAGTACGCAATTTGGGACACACCTATTGTCTATGGAAGGTCCATACGTGTGTGTGTGTGTGTGTGTGTGTGTGTGTGAGAGAGAGAGAGGTGGACAGCTGAATGGCTAAAATAGAGTTTTGAGGAGCAGCTGTCAAACAGTCCCTCCCTCCCTCCTCAATCCCATCATCCCTCCCCCTCTGTGTGACCGTGAAACCCCCCACCCCTCCATCTGTCTGTTACGTCCGTCACTGGATCCACACTCAGAGTCCACTCTCATTAACACCTGTCATTAGGGCCAGTCCACCTCATTTTGCAAAGCAGATCCAAGTTCTATTCTGTGAATAATTTAATGTGAATGCAGGTAAAAGGGTAAAACCAGTTGCACTACACATTGTTAAATTATTTAATAGGTTTATTAAATAATTATGGTAATAAATTAAAATATATGATATGATAACAAATACCAGTTTGCAATATCAAGCAGCATAACAGACTGTTTTTGTATGGAAGTCCATGTAGGAAAAAAAAATGCTTTGGCAAGTCATAATTTTGACTTTAAAACTTATAATTATGACATTCTATGTCATAATTATGACACAAGTCCTAATTGTGAGGGAAAAGACACATGACATACTAAGTCATAAATATTAAGTAAAAAAAGTTGAAATTATCACATACTAAGTCATCATTGGCATAGTAAGTTTTTATGAGATAAAAGTCAAAATTATACTATTTATGAATAATTATGAGATATAAACATTAAATTGTGGCATACTAAGTCAAAATGATGATATGCTAAGTCAATTATGATGGTCAAAATTATGACATACTAAATTGAAATTGAGTGGCAAAATGGCTGATTTTTAATCTCATAATTATGACTTGGTATGTCGTAATTTTGACTTTTCCATCTAATAATCTAATAATTACATAAATACTTTTTATGGCATAATTTAGATTTTATCTTATAATTTCAGTTTAGTACGTCATAACTTGTCATAATTTCTACTTTTTATCTCATAAAAATGTACTATATCATAATTTTGACTTTAAAAGTAGTTTTCTACTTCTAAAGTCATAATTGCGATTTAGTATGTCATCACTTTGATTTATCTCATAATTATGACTTTGTCATCATTTTGACTTGGTATGTCATAACTTTGACTTTTTAGCTCATAATTATGAGCTAAAACCTCTTAAACCAGCTAGTTAGGTCCAGTATATTTCCCCTCAAAGAAAGCATGGCTAATCCCGAGGGAAAGGAATCTGTTCGATCCGTGGTAATCCAGATAAAGAACGAGTCCTAGCAGCCGTGATGCAGGCCGTTAGATCCAGCCGGTGTCACGGTGTAAGAATCGTCAGCTGGCTTCAGTTAAATAAAAACACTGGTAATATTCTCTAATGCAGATAAGATAATACACCACATCACTAACCCTTACAAACATTTACCATGGTAACCATTGTTACACCAGATATTATTTCTACTGTAAAAAATGTACATGTTGAATGTAAAAATGTTACATTTAGAATTTTAAAATGAGCTTTTTAAATTTTTATTTGTTTACTGTCATTTTGTTTTTATTTTTTGTCATTATTTTTATTTAGTTTTTATTTTGTCTCAGTTTTTGTCGATGCTAATACCAAATTATAAGTTTTTCTGTATTAACAATAACAGTATTTTTTATATTTAAATGTTTTATTTTAATTTGTTGTTGTTTATTATTTTGTATTTTTATTTATTTATTATTTTCGGGTTTTACTGATGACTAACATTAAATTAATACAGTTTTTCTGTAGTAACACTAACTGTTATTTTTATTTATATTATTTTATTATTATATTATTATTATTTTCATGTTTTATTGATAAGTTTTTCTGGAATAACAATAACTGCAGTAAATGTGGTATTTTAGCAGAATCTATTGTTGCCATGGTGAGATTTAGTAAACTGTTCATGTGTGTGTTTCTCATGTTTAGAATGGAATACTAATGTACTGAATACTGCATTTTATGCTGAATACTGCATACCGTTTAAAAAATATATGCAAAAAAAAACATTTAATTTACTTGTGAATAGATTTATAAATGATTTTACACAACTTTTACTTGCTTCCTGAATCAGGCTAAATACGTGAAACTTTCACATTTTAAAAAGCTGCATACTAGGATTGGCATCTGGTTATTATCTTAAATAAATGTTTATTTTGCATATTGAGCACAGCATTCTGGACCATAGCCTTTGTCTCTGTTTGGATGGATTGTGTGGTCTCTCTCTCTCTCTCTCTCTCTCTCCTCTGTGTGACTGCTTGTCCCATACAGGAGCACATTTTAGCAGGCACCAGCATAGTCATGCTACCTCCTGCCGGCATTTTCACCTGGCTGCTACGGCAACACCGCTGCCTGCTGAGTTCCCGCCCCCTCCCCTCGCCCCGCCTCAGTACCAGGAAGTCCCGCCCCCTTTCCTACCTCAGGCCTTACAGCAGCAATACCTCATCCAGCAACAGCTACTGCAGCGCAGGTACAAAACACACATGTCCACATACAATGATACGGAAAAAAGTCTTTGGACACTTAAAAATGTTTAGTTATCCTTCATTAAGATAAAAGACACCGTAAGGAAAAACACACAAAACAATTGATAAATAAAAGATCTATTCTATTCCTCTATCTCGATCTCTTCAGACGCACACAAGAGCGAGTCCCACTGAACACTCATCGGTTACGCCCAGGATATGAATATGCTCCGCCCCTCCACGCCCCTCAGCCAATCCCACAGCAGCCCAGATACCTGGCGGAAGGCACTGACTGGTGAGTTCTGCAAACACACTCGCATTCAAAGCAGTAGTAAACTTATTTCGGCCACCGAATAGGTAATTGTGACTTCTTAATCCCAGAATTAGGATTTTTCCTCATAACTGTAAATTTCTAACTTTTTTTTTTATCTGCATTTCTTATAACTTGCAATTGTGAAGTTTATATTTTGCAACTGCAAGTTGGAAACTCATAATTCTGAGTTTAAATCTCACAATTAAGACCTTTTTCATCAGAATTCTGAGTTTAAATCTTGAAATTCTGAATAATTTTTTATTTAATTATCAATTATCAAGAGATTTTTTTTCTTGGAATTCTGAGTTTACATTTATTAAATCTGTTTTTTCCCCCCCGCCATAGAATAAAAAAACAAATCCAAAATGAATTGCAATTGAGACTTTACTTTTTTCTCATAATTGTGAATTAGCATCTCGCAATTCTGACTTTTTTTTTCTTCTCAGAATTGCAAGAAAAAGTCAGAATTGTGAGATGAAAAAGTCACAATTATCTTTTATATTCTGATATTATTATATATTATTTTTTATTCTGTGGCAGAAGTAAGCTTCCATAGTAAACAACTTCCTTGACGTTTAGGAATTATCTTTATGGTCAAAAAGGGAAAATAATGTACCACACACAAATTCCCTGCTGCTGATTGTGTTGTTTTTAAATAGCTCTTAATAAAATGAAAATGTGTGTGTTTAGGGATCTGAGTGTGGACGCAGGTGTGCCGCATCAGTATCCTCTGCAGCAGATCCCTCAACCCTACCAGCATTACCTGGCCTCTCCCAGAATGCACCACCTCCCCAGAAACACCTCCTCCACCCAAGTGGTGAGTGTGTGCGTGTGTGTGTATATGTATGTGTATATATAACTTCTAAATAATGTTTTACATATATACACTTATATATACATATATTGTATGTATATATGTATGTGTGTATGTATATATATATATATACACACACACATACACCTTTGTAGTATATATAGTGTATATAAAACATAAGTTTTATTAATACATTTTCCTTTTTTATTTAAATGTTTTTTTATATAGTAGGCACAAGTGTTGAATGTGGTCCTCAAGTGTTTTAATCATGTATGCTGTGTTTTCTGCAGGTTGTCCATGAGATAAGGAATTATCCGTATCCACAGCTCCACCTGTTGGCGCTGCAGAGCTTTGGTCCCAGCAGACACTCGTCTGCTGTTCGGGAGAGTTATGAGGTAAAGCACACAGACAGATGAACAGTAACTCACATATATTCATGCTTTGCTCTATTTAACACTGATTTTGTGCAGGAGCTGCTGCAGTTGGAGGATCGATTGGGAAGCGTCAGCCGAGGGGCCATACAGACCACCATAGAGAGATTCACTTTCCCGCACAAATACAAGAAGGTACATACACACACTGTTCACTTTCACACTTTTATCTTCAAGTCCAGGCTACAGTTTTCTGCTGCTAACACACTGGTGTTTGTGTTTGTTTGTGTGTAGCGGAAGCCGCTGGATCTGAAGTTATGTGTGAGTGAGGAAGAGTTGGATGTGGATGAGAAATGCACCATCTGCCTCTCCCTGCTGGAGGATGGAGAAGATGTCAGGTAGTGTATAATACAGATGACACTATACACTTACATTCACAAGTCCAGGGGCAGTAAGGTGTTTTAATGTATTTGAAAGAAGTCTCTTCTGCAGATATACAGTAATATTGTGAAATATTATTACAATTTGAAATGACTGTTTTCTATTTGAATTTGTTAAAATGTAATTTATTCCTGTGATGCAAAGAATTGAATCATTTTGTCTCTCATAGTTGAGGTATACCTATGATGAAAATTACAGGCCTCTCTCATCTTTTTAAGTGGGAGAACTTGCACAATTGGTGGCTGACTAAATACTTTTTTTCCCCACTGTATGTGTATATGTATATATATTTCTTTTTAGCTTTATTTTATTTCAGTTTTAGTAACTTTAAAACTTCAATTTAATATTTTATTTAATTCAGTTCAATTAAGTTTTATTTAAAGTAGTCATTTTAAACGTTAAATTTAACAACTTACAAAGGGATATTCTTTTTTCATTTATTTTAATATTAAAATCAATTTTTAATAGCTTTAGTTTTATTTAATAGTAAAAACACTGCAAAGTACACAATACAGGATGCCCACAACTAAACACAACAATAACAGAGCATGTCAAAATACAAAATGCTGTATGCTAATGTAGCTCCACTCGTCCTAATAAACCATTTATCTGTCTCTTCTGTTTTCAGGCGGTTACCCTGTATGCATTTGTTCCATCAGGTGTGTGTGGATCAGTGGTTGGTCACCAGTAGGAAGTGTCCCATCTGCAGAGTGGACATTCAAACACAGCTCACCCCTGGGAGCTGAAAAAACACGCATTAACAAATAACTTAAACACACACATGCTCTCTTTCGCTCTTATACATCCACAGACAATTCCATCCACACACACACACACACACTGTATATTACCTATACACGTGTATGATGAGCCATCCAACACACACTAAACTCACACGCTTTACTGAGCCAATGACAATAACTGACACTACACACATACACGTGCTGGTAGAAACTAAAGGGTCTGTCGCGAGGAGTGATTCTGTCTGTAGGGAAATGGTGTGTGTTCGTAGCATATGTGTGTGTATTTGTGCAATTCCTTAAGCCATGAACTTTACTAAAGACCCTCAGCTTGCATACAATACACACACACACTTACACACTACTTATAATATATACACAATGGCGGATAAGACACTGTCAAATCTAGCTGCTGGAGTGTGTGTGTGTGTCCACTGTATTTCTGATCTGCAATACTGCTTTAGTCTTACACACTGGAGCTACTTCGGCTTGCGTTTGTGCGCTTGTTCACCCTTTTGGTGCGTGTGTATCGTATGTGTGCTAATATTTTCATGGGTTAGCGGTGCATGTAGAGAAGCCAAAAAAGAACACGCAACAACAACAAAAAATAAGAAAACACAAAAGCAACTCATTTCCGAGACAGCAGGAGGAGGGCTGTTGTCTTACAAAAAAAAAGTAGGCAGAGAATGTTGTGATTGGTGGATTTGTGTAGATAGGCGCAATAGTAGTTGCATGCATCTGTGCTTGGGTTGTTGTTTCAAGGTACACCTGGAAGTGTGCGTGCGCGCGCAAATGCATGGATGTGTATTAGCTCCTTTAAGCTGTGAAGATCCGTAACATTATCAGACTCATGTAGCGAGTGTGTGTGTGCGCGAGAGAGAGACCCTGCCATGACCTTTGACCCTAAATGCCTACTGAAAAAAGCACATGTGAGCATAGCTGAAGTGCCCGGCCTCACTCTGGTGCTGCGCTGCCATGGTTACTGTATTTATTATTGGTATTTAAAACATGCAGTGTTTGGAGGGGGCGGGGCTTGTGCGTGTCCAACCGTGTTCTTGTGTGATGGGTCTCCCCTCGTGGTTGCTATGCTGGTTGCTATGCTGTATTGCTAGAACTACAATGTAGAATGTCGTGTGATAGAGGACCATCCGCCAACAGCACACAAGTGGGTCGAGATGGATTAACACAACGCAGGAATTTGTATTTGGCCCGAAACATACACAGGTAGTTTTCCGTTTCAGCTCAAATGTCGAGAATCTTGCGGAGCAAGTTAAAGTTAGCTAATATGTTGACATGTTTACAGCTAGCTACACAAACAATAGCAAATCTGGTTTAACAGTGCAGACGTTTGAACACTGTCGCCCCCTTGAGCACTGTAGTTTGCAGAAATGCACATTATGCAATGCGTATTTTTCTGGCCTTTAGCTGTTTTTAAGTTCAATTTTAACAACTTGCAACAAGGATATTCTTTTTATATGGATAGTTTTTTTCCCGAAATGTCTGATTTCATTTTGCTTGAAATGTAAACTAGGCAATTTCTCTCACTGTGTGTTCAAAATCTTGCAATCTACCCTACATAAGTAGTTAACTATGGAAGTTTCCACTACAGGATGAAAAATTAAAATGGTAATTGCAACTTTTTATCTCATAATTCAGACATTTATTTTCACACAACTCTGAGAAAAAGACAAATTTAGAATTGCGAGATATAAACTCACTATTGCAGGTATGTAAACAGTGATGTAAATTCAGAGAAAAAAAGTCAGAATTGTGATGTATAAAATCATAATTACGAGGAAAAAACACATTTATGATTGCCCGCATTCTCCACCAACTTTTGTGAATGGAGCTTGTCAAAATGCATTCTGGAATTGCCTTCTCTATAAAGCTAACTTTTTATTCTTGGTTTAGTTTTGCTTAATTTGACCTAAAAGTCCATTTTAAAACACATATTTCATTTTCTAAAAAAAAAGCTATATTAGTTTCAGCTAATGAGCTGCATTTTTTCCTGTGCATTGGCTCCTCCCCCCAGTGTTTTGTGTGCTGATTGGCAGATGATGGCTCGTGTTGGTCGTTTACACAGGGTTATGTCCGTTGAAATGCCTTAAGTATTTAACAATCATAATTTATTACTAACTGTAGATATTGTGGGTACGTATTTCATTTTGTATAGTTTCATATTTTGCAATGGAATCATATTTTATTTATTTAGAAATAACACAAAATGATTAAAACTCTTACCTCATGTTTGAGTTGGTTTGCGGGAATGCTTCGCATGCGGTTGGTCGTGTTCGTGTGTGTTTCTCCCTTTGGTGCTGTGACCATACTGACATTCCGCTTGCTGATTGGTCAGACACGGCAGCGGAGTGGGAGTATTATGGGTTTTGATTCGCTGTCCTGTTTGCACTCTTAGTTTTCCAAGGCCACCCTCTCACTGGCATCGTTTTTACCACTCTGGCGACCTTTGCAACACAATCTTTCTCTCTTTCTCTTCTCTTTTCTCTGCAAGTCTTTCATACATTGTTAATGTTTACATGATATTTCCCTTTCTTGTCTCATGTCTGTCTCTCTGTGTTTAAGACTTTTATTCTTGTTAATGTTTACATCCTCATGCTTTTTTTCTGCCTTTAACAGTCTTAAATGGTTAATGTTTACATTCTCTCACTTTCTAAGAGTGTGTTCGAAAATCTAGTGTGCTGCCCTACAACTCTAAGGCAGCATACTAACTGAAAAGAAACCTTTTAAGTGACCAATTTAACACCAAGTGCACAAGAGATCTGACTCAGAATTTAAGATACACTGGAAAAAAGAACGAGTGAAGAAATGATTTTCACTCAGAAAATGCTAGGGAAAGAAACGAAGTCGCATATTGAATTAAACATGAAATATTTAAGAAAAACTGAAATATTATTTTGTTGTAAAGCACAATTAAATGTGATGTAAACCATCAATCTGCATTATTTACAACTTAAAACTTTTTTTTTGCAGTGTAGTGTTTCATATTAGCATATTGCTAAGCTAGCAAAGCGCTACGCTTAAAAAAAAAATATGTAGCATGCACACATATTGGTTAAATAGTCCATTTTTAATTGCATGGAACTGTTTTTATCAATATATTTGGGTACTGAATGGATTATAGTTGTTTTGCCCGCATTCTCCACCAGCTTTTGTGGCAGAGCTTGTCGCAATGCATTATGGGATTCACTTCTCTATTAAACATACATGTAATCTTAGTCACTGCATAGGAAGTGTGCATATGGTGCTGTCTAGTCTAAATAGGAGGCTCACTAGATTTTGGAACTAGCCCATTTTTTTACAATCTCTCATTCCTTGTGCCTATTTCTGTTTTATTCTCAATCTTCATCTCTGTTATTCTCAGTCAGTGCTTTCAGACTGTCTCCAGGGCATGTGAATCCTCTTTCGTCTGAGTTTATTTTGCCAGTCTCTCTCTCTCTCTCTCTCTCTTTCTCCCTGTCTCATGGCAGGGTCAGGACTAACAGAGTATGATAAAGCACAACAGATTTAAAATGCATGTTTTTCTCAGGTTTGAATATATACATGACTAAATAGAAATATACAGCTACATAGAGAAAATAAAGACTAGTGCAGATGTTCTACTAATGATATTAGAGGATTGATTTTTTTGCTGCTGCTCGCATTTGAAATACAAAAAAAAAAAAAAAAGACATTAATAATAATGTTGTCCTAAAAGTGCCAGTGACAGGGGTGCCGCCTGCTGTGGGTGTTTTTTCACTAGCGGATTTTCTAGCAGAATATAGACTATTTATTATTCATATTAAAGCAATAGCGCCTCCTGCTGGTGTGACTGCTAGTACGTAACTGGTCGAGTAAAAAAGTCTGTGTAAAATGTTAGAATTCTCTTTTGGTGGAATTTTTGTACCTTATTTATTACTACTACTAATGATGAATTTAAAGGTGGCATCGCTAAAATGTTTTTGGTTTCATTTTGTTTAATTTCAAAGCTTGTACATTATCCTTTTTGTATGTGCTCATTTTGTAATAAAATTGTTGAAATGCTTAAACGTCTGTTTTGTCTTGCATTTTCACATTTTGCTTTCAATTAACTTTCTATATCAAACATTTATTTCAATTAGAAAATCCAGCTGAATCATGGCGGCATCTGGTTTTACATGGTTTCTAGCTAGTCCACATTAATTTAGATGGTGTGCACAAAACTTAGACACTTTGTATAAGCTAATTTATAATATACAGTGTTTTATTTATTAGAATTGTAAATCACTCAATATGTTGATGAAGCTGTAAATTCCTCTTAACATTAGAGGGCTAAACAGACTCTTTAAATGCCTAATGAGACAATATATGCAAAATTCAAATACAAACAACATTTTAATGTACACTCAATTCTAATATCATCTTTGGCATTTATTTGTGAATATATTCAGTAAAAGAGACGAGAGTGAATCTATCACCTGTAATATGCTCATTTATTTTTAATGATTTATGAAACATTACATTCTCTACTAACAAAGCAATAAATAATTCACTCTCACTTTTTTTCTAACTGTTGTACGTATGACACAGAAGAACCAATTTACTTCTGTAATGTGATGTACACTACTGTTTGAGATAGTAAGATTTTTTAAATGTTTTTGAAAAAATCCTTTTTGCTCTCCAAGTCTTCATTTATTTGATTAAAAGTACAGAAAAACACTTAAATTATGAAATATTACAATTTAAAATAACTGTTTTCTATTTGAATATATGTAAAAATGTAGTTTATTCCTGTGAAACAAAGCTGTATTTTCAGCATCATTACTCCAGTCTTCAGTGTCACATGATCCTTCAGAAATCATTCTAATATGCTGATTTGCTGGTGAGTAAAGTTCAAAAGAACAGCATTAATTTGAAATAGAATTCATTAGTAACATTATAAATGTCTGTGCTGTTACTTTTGATCATTTTATTGCATCATTGCTAAAAAAAACATACATATATTTTCTTACCCCTACTTACCCCTTAAATTTGAGGCCTTTTAGAGTAACAGAAACACTTTATGCACTTAATAATAGAACAGATGAATTTAAATGTATACACCTAACTATCCCCAACTGTTCTAGCCCTGTGTTTTGTCGTTATTCAGAAAAGAAAGTTTATCCAGGTAGGTCATTGTTTTGCACACTACCAAACTATAATATGTCTCCAGCATGCCACAGCTCCTCCCCTTCCCCGCCCCTAAATCCCGCCAGGCCACACCCATCATCCCCACCCCCATTCTGGCAGAGCTGAATAGGAAGTTGTAGCAGCAAGGGTTATAACGAATGTGTCGGTCACCAGAAAACCGAGCGCTGTGAGTGGCCACCACACCTGCCCGTCTTGCACACAGGCCAACCAGAACGTCGGAGGGGAGGGGCAACGAAACATCCTCAGCAGCGACATAAACTTTCCTTACAACGTCTTGAGATAGAAGAAAGGCGGGGCCAGAGCAGTAGTCTGGGAGGTACTTATCAGGGTACACTTGATAGGGCAGATAATGCGGTTTGTCAGGGTCCCGCTCAGGTGCGGCTCGATGGATGACCCTGCCTAGGTAAAGTTCATCAGGGTGCGTTCTCAGTCCTA